ATTCAAAAAATTGAACCCTTAAATTCAAAGGCATGTATTAGGGTAGTGTGTAGTCATTTAGCTCTGTACCAACGTAAAGTGTATACGGTCCATAGTATTATTTTTCTAAATACATATTTTCTTTATAAAGTCTTTGGGAAAGTAAATAAAAGTATAATATATCTTACATGACTAATAGCGTCGATACTTGACTAATAACGGTCATTCATAATATGAGTAATTAGAAATGGCCATCTAATTATACTACGTATTTTTTTTATGTAGCAATTAGTTTTTATTAAACATTGCATTCCTTTTCCACCTCTTCCCTGTCCTCTTCCACTCCTGCCGCCACGTCGTTGTCCTCTTTCCCGGTACCTCCCTCTATATTTTCATTTTTTTTTTAATTCTTCAATTAATTTTCTTTGTTCCTCAATTACTTTTTTTTTAATTTCCAATTTTATCTAGGGGTTAATTAAAAAAAAACATGTTTCAGTATTTGTAATATAAAATTGAATTAATGTATTGAATATTAAAGTATGTGTAAAGTGTTGATTATGGTAGCGGCAAAGGAAAAACGTAGCAATGAAATTTCGAATTGTTTTGTGTAACTTCTGGAACTGCTCGATTTGTTGTACATTGTTTGTAATAAATGAGTTAGTGGTATTTGTTCTTGTTTTTTAGAATGCAAGCAGAATCTATGAATGATGCTAATAAAAGTGAATCTTTTCAACGATTTGTTGTAAATATTTGGGCGCAAGTGTCTGACGTAAACAATGTTGTCACTATGTCTGGACTTATTCCGGATAAAAATTATTATGCAGAAGAAGAAAATTTTTTGCGAATTCTCTTATTTATTTCGAAAATTAATGGGAAGAACTTTATTATTAGTTATTGCATATATATGTTAGTAATAATAAACTCTTTAGCTCACTTTAATTGGACACTTAATAAATCTAAACAATTAATTATGGATTTCTTATTTATACTTACCATTCATCTCTATGTTAGGCGGGCGGGCGATTTGTAAAATTATTTTTATGAATTTTTTTATGATTTAAAAATTTTTGGAAAAACGTGTGTATATTAATTGAATTTATATTTTAATGAAAATGAAGAAAAATGCTATAGTAGGTCATATAATTTTTAATTAATATAATATTTACTTATTGATTAATCATTATTTTTCAATATTTTTTAAGTGAATTGAATTTTTTTAAACTATTTAATTCAATTATTTTGTTCGTTGACAAGATATTTTTATTAAAATTGTTATAGTTTAGCAATTTTCTTTTGAGTAATTTATAGAAGAAAAAATAAATATGGAATTTTTATAATAAAATAATATATGCATACCATTTAAATTGTCTTCAATTTGCATGTCTGCGGTTGACATTGTTTATTATTGTGGAAATCTGTCGATAGCGATATTAACATTTTAATATTCAAAATTCTATATTATAAATTTTTTAATAACAAATTTGATTAATACCATATTACAAAAAATCGTATTTGACATTTGCTCGGGCAGAATTTGTCAATTATCGATAATTAAAAGTGAAAACTATCTATCTATAAAAAACATTTTTAAATGTCGAAGTAATTTACGATGGCATAAATGTTCGTAAGTGTGCAATGTTATTAGGTATATTTAATTTCACAAATTTGTAATAATTTTGATTATTATAATTTAAGACAATTTGAGTTTTGAAGAGGGCTTTGATATCACGGCCAACTTTTAAAATTTAAATAAAATCCGCTGTCGCTAATGAAAGTTACACTAACTATTTTCTGTTCTATGCTTAATAAAATTGTTCATGGACCCATATGAAATTGGGTGGTATTTTTTTACAAGACATGATCTTTTAGAAGTAAGGTTAAGAAGGATTATAGAACAATTTTATTTGTGGCAATTTATTTGAAATTAGGTGAAAACGTATTTGCGAGATTGCAATAATAATTCTGAAGGAAATGATTTTGTTTTTTGGGAGGTGCAATAAAGTGGAAAATATTATTTTTTTAATGTGTTACAAAACTTCTGGACTCCTCCTGCGTCGGTTTTTGTTGAGTCGAACTTGCTGACGTTTCGCCAATCATCCTATTGACTTCTTCAGAGGTTAAGCAAAACCCGGCGCAGGAGGAATCCAGAACAAAAAAATAAATACAAATTTTAGGATTTTAAAAACAGAAATTAAGAATAAATTCCACAAGTGAAAATCATTAAAATATATATATTTCAAAAAATACATGTGGGATAGAAAAACGTAAGGATTTAATTGTAATTAAATTTTATCAGTGACCGATGAGTATAGTAGAAGTTCGTTTTGCAAAAATGTAGTTTTTTATTTAATTATTGTTTGAAAGGTTTTTTTTTGGCTCTTGGGTTTATTAGTTGTAAATTGCTTTGTTTTTTTCTTGAATTTTATTACTAATGTCTCTGTTATCATAATGCTTTAAAATTATCTGATTTTTTTTGTCATTGTTATTTCTGTTACATCAGTTTCAAGAACATTTAAGTTGATTTAACTTCTACATCTTTCGATCAACTGTTATTTGTTGCTTTTTGTTTCCTCACAAGTATAACTTGAGGATTGTTTTGTGAGTAAAAATTTATATTTAGAGAAAAGATAAAATTAATATTGTATAGGTATCTAAGCAACATTAATTGGTGAATCAATATCAACAAGATTGCTTTCAAAAAATCGTCGCTGGGCCGGCCAAGTTCGTCGCAAGCTGTTTATTTCCAAAAGAAGCCGCTTGGCGGTTTTTTGTCGTAGACATGCATTATTTTTCTATCGCGCTTCTGCGTACCACTATGGAACTTTCGCAAAATCGATGTAATTTTGTTGTGCACGCACTCTGTATAAAGTGTCTTTCACATCTCGCCGAACTTCAAAGTTACGGCAAACTTTGGTGAATATTTCAATTTGTAGCGGTATTGGTATTGGTATTGGTATTAAAGGGGGGCGCCCTCACGGGCGTCCAAGCACTTAGGCCATCAGATGGGCCCGTTGTGCCCCCAGGCCGCTCTAGAGGGCGTCCAGAATGCCGCCCCTCCTATTAAAGGGTAGCAACCCCTTTAGCCCAATACTGTGCACTGAGTCCGGATCGATCAGGGCCGTTCCGAAGACTCCCAATCTTGCCCATGTCAAGGCAGGGCACTCGGTGAGCAGATGATACGGGGTCTCCTCCCCTTCCATGCACCACCTACACTCCGGGTCGTCTTCAATGCCTAGCAAGCAAAAATGCCTCCTAAGCCTGCAATGTCTTGTGTAGGCCCCTGTTAGTGCTCTACACTCCCTTCTGGTTAGTCTAAGCAGCTCCATGTTCCGAGGGAGGGCGGGCCCATCCATCGTAAGCCTCGCCTGCCTCACTCCCGGAGCAACTCTCCAGCCCCCCGCGGCCCGGTCTCTCGCCCAGGCTTCGAGAGCTCCCCACCTCACACATGGAGCGATCCCCAGGCGGGGCTCTGGCCCTATATGCCTATGCGAGGAGCCCTCTCTAGCTATGGCGTCCGCTGCCTCATTGCCCCGGATACCGGTGTGACCCGGGACCCACACCAACGTGACCTTCCTCTCCTCAGCCACCCTCCTCAGTACCCCTTTGCACTCCTTTATCAAGAAGGAGCGCGTACGCAATGACTTCAGTGCCATAAGTGCAGCTCAATTTGTAGTGGTAATTGCGATTTAAAATTATATTTTTTCAAATATCTGGCGCACCCTGTATGATAGACGAAAACTGAAACTCTCTCTCGACATAGTTTACAATACTGTTCAAACCAGATTATCACATTTTTAATAGTTTTTCATTTATCGCCAACAATTTAAAAAAAAAAAAAAAAACGAAAATTTTTAGGACCTTTTAGATTTTTTACCCATGAACGACACACCGTGTATATAATTCAAACAATGTTCGAAACCGATGTTATAGCCCTGGATCTCCCTTTGCTGGTGTATGAGTTTTTCCAATAGAGTAAATAGTTTTCGAGAAAAGACTTGTTTTCTGAAACCATGCAGTACGCCGTAATGTACAAATATATAATAATATATAAATGTACCAAAATTTTTTTTCAGAAATGTTTAAAAAATACTTTTCGAGATTTGAATAAGTCCTTTTTCAACAGATGAAATACGGGTGTGGACTTCTACCCTTCTGCCAAATTTGAAGTCGATAGCTGCCAATTTAAGACACCTGTTAATTTTTGAATATAGCCCCTAATATCTTGAACAGCCTGTATAACACGTGAAAACCTTAAATACAAAAGTTTTAACTGTCTATGCGGTCTATATCGCCATTTAAAAGAAACCGACATGCGACACAGCCAATTTTCTATAAAGGGGGAAACACACACACAGTTTTTTTGTACGTTGTAAAAAAAATTGACAAAAATATAATTTTATAGAGCCGAATCTTCTGCGTCTTCCCATTACAGAATTTTTTCGGTAGCATAAACCGTTTTCGATTAATGATTTTTCTCTTGAACCCTTGCAAACGCAATTTTTTATTTTTTAAAAATACTTTTTTTTTAAATACCCCCAGCTCCCCCCAATTTCAATAGGTTCCGTCAGAGAACCCAGCTTCATATGTGTGCCAATGAAGTCGATCACTTCAACTTTCTGGCACTTATCCTGTTTCATAGCAATGTCAAAAAAAACAGTCTAAGATCGAAAAAAAATGGCTGCCAATTTTCGATCGCCGCCATTGTCAAATATCTTGTGCATCTAGTGGACAGTAAAAAAGGAGCAAAATTTGAGCGGCCTAGTTCAAATGGCTCTGGAGTTATGATCAAGAACTATCGACCCTTTTATTCTGTTGTAATTTACGAAGCAGCGCCACCCAACGGTAGCCTAAGTCACTATATTCTTGTTTGCAGTTACACAGAAACCTTGCCAACTCGATCCGCTCGCGAAAGGTTGTTTCAAAAAGCTCTCAACAGACGGTGCTGACCAACGTAACATTCTGAACTGGAATTGGCGCTTATGTATTTAAAAACTTTAAAGAGGCAGTCGCTTACTAATCGCTGGGCTAGCGCGAGGTACTTGAAATGGTAAAATAAAAACCGTCTTTTTGTTGAAGCCCGTCTCCGCTCGAAGGAATTTAACTGGTCTTCAGTTATTCGACGTAACAGCCGCAAATAAATTAATTTTCTCTTTACTTTTCGTCGCGTTTAATTTGCTGCGAGCTATTTAAACAACCGTGGACATGAGTTCGTGCGTGAAAGTAACTATTTTTGCGTTAAGTGTAATCGTCTTGTGCAGTTTAAATGCGAAACTGGTTAATTCATTTAACATTGATGCATTTAATTACGCGGTATATGAAAGATCTGAAAAATCCATGTTTGGATTTACTGTTGCAGTTCACAAACAGAAGTCCGCATCCTGGTACGTTCAATATATCATTTTTTAAAAATAATGTGCGCTAACTTTAATAAAAAAAAATTGTGAAATATATACTAATCTCACAACATGTAGAATATGTTTGTGAGCTCTTAAACATCTGGTCGCACCAAGAAATATTTTTTTTTTCATAATTTCTTCCTATTGCTGCCAGATACCCACATATATTAATATTGAAAATATTGCTCGCGCTTATTTGGAAGTGCGAAAAATTTGTCAAAGTCCGCTTCCAAGGTACAAAAATGCAATGTCAATCTTACACAAAAAAATTTATAATCCAACTTAACTTTTCATTGAGTTTTTTAATTTTTTTTCGTCACTTTATTAAGATACCGTCGACATTTTATTAGTTTCCACTTTAAGCACCCGCAGAAGAAATTCTTTGAGAAATAGTAGGTAGGGTTCAATTCAATTAATTGAGAAGTTAAATATTTTTTTTTATTATTATTTTTTTAAAGGCAATGAAATCTCAGGATCGTTTTTCATACTAATCTCAGTGTATCTGCATATATCTCCACGGATTTGAATTAGGACAAAAAAGAGCAATTTCCTTCGAAAAAAAATTATATAACTATTTAATTTTTTCTTTGCTTTTTTTTAACTGTATGCCTAGGTCCTACCCAGTCGAAATTAATAAGAGACAACAGCGGTCATTTTAGTAGCTTAAATAAGAAGAGCTAGCCATGTGTCCAAGTCCCTTTTATTTTTCAACTATTGGCGGTAAAATATTAAAATATAAAAAAAATTTTTTCGATAATCATATATTCCAGACCAGATATAAGCCAAACCGATCAGTAATCATTTTATAACAAACGTTTGTGAAGGAAATGTTGTTGACAGACTTATTAAATTTATTCCGCACATGGGACATAAGCGGCAGATATGGAAGGAGTTAAATTTTAATATTACAAATTGTAGAGGGCAACCTTATGATAATGCCAGTCATACGAATGCAATTTATCAAATTTTACAATAAAAAATACCTGGCCTATTTTGTACCTTGTGGAGCTCATTCCTTAACTTAGTAACAAATGTCGCTGCTGATTGTGATTGGGTGTGATTCTACAATTAGATGGAATGTATTAAAGATTGAATTACAAAAAAATAATTATATAGTACCAAAAAGTTTATCAGACACAAGTGCTGCAACTGTAAAAACTAGCATTTTTTTTAGAAAAATTTACATTTAACATTAATTTACAGCACGTAGTAATAACATATAAACGTATAATTTAAGTTAAGTTAAGAGATAAATTTGATCATTATTATGAAAGGTCTAAAATTAAAAAAATTAAGTATGATAATGGGTACTTGTGACACCAAATTTGATGAGTTAAATAATTTCAAAGTAAATACTTGTTTTGTTGAAGAGAAAATCTTTATTACTTCAGCACCTGATTTTTAATAATAATAATATACTTTATTCAGGTAATTTCGACAAGAAAAGGCAAGAGTGCAGCGCCCAGACGTATCTGCTTGCTGATTTCTACACTTATCCTTACACATAACATCACACCGGGGTTTTAATTAATGTTTACAATTTACAATACGTTAAGTACCCACTTAATTATATAACAGAATGAAAAACCTAAACCTACCTCTGTAAATAAAAAAACTATTAGCTAAAGTACTGTAAGTACCACAAATTTTTAAAGAATTCTAGCAGTGCAAATTGGTTAGATTCTTCCTGCGCTCTGTAACTTCTTAAAACTTACCTGGGAAACTTCTTACTTACAATAACGTCATTTTCTTTTCAATACTGTCAATTGAAAAATATGTATTAAAAATAAGTTGATATTGACAAAATATAATTTTTGTTTTATTATCCTCCGATAATTTGATATTGAATAAAACAGATACTTACTTTTCAGTTGAATTTGTTACATATTTAAAAATTTAAAGTATTTAAATTTAAAAAAATATATTTTCAAATTTTCAGTTTCTTTTCTAAAATTAGTCAAAACTTACCTGGAAAACTTTTTGGTTAAAATTCATTTATTTGTTTTGCATTTTATTTCATTGCATTGAAAAAGAGTAAGAAAAAATGATAACATATAATTTTTGTTTTATTATCCTTTGATATTTTGATATTGAGTAAAACATTTAGATACCTACTTTTCAGTTTAATTTATTACATATTTATATTATATTTGTTTAAAAATAAAATATTCAAAAGCTGTGATTGGGGCCCCTATTTTTGAGTGCCCTAGGGCCCTAGATATGTAAATCCAAAAGGTTTATAATATCATATTACATTTTTTTGCGTTTTCTGTGCCTAGGGAAGGATGTTTTTTTTGAAGCCTCTTCGATTATATTCAAAAAGTTACTCAGATTCTGTCTGTCTGAGATTCATATACACAGTTTTGTTTACATTTTTGCAATCCTACAGGCCTTGCTTGATATCTCCAAATGAAAAATAGACGACTTTGTAGATGTTCAAAATGCAGCTTTCTTTATTGCTAGACAATCTACATTTTGATCTAGCAGAAGTTAATGACACGGAAGTATAAAGCGTGACTTAGAATACAATAGGACAAAAGTATCTAGTTAAAAATTGCTTCGCTTAAAACACAAAAGTAAAATAAATTTTTGGAATTCGATGGAGGTGTTCATACTTTCAAATTTCGGTTTCAATTTTATATATCATAACCCTGTAAAAGTTTGTTATCTTTTTCAATATATAAATAGATGAAATCGTCAAAAAGATTTCAAAATTGTAGTAATTCTTAAAACATTCAATTTCTTTTACATTTAGGTAGGAAAGAAGGAGTTAAAAAAAATTAGTAAAGGTTCATTAAAAAAGTAATATTGCGGAGAAACATTCAAACTCAGCGCCACAGAAGACTTATACAACTGACTACCGAGTCATGTATTTGATGACAATGTCGTCAATATAATTTTCATGAGTTAATTTATTCGATACAACACCAATTTTAAAAAATAACTTTTATTTAAAAAGATAGAATTTTAAATTTTGATTTTTTGGAATTTAAAAGTTTGACAGGCCGTGATTAAAGCACTGTGTCGATAAGTAGATTTTTGAAATACTGCAGTTACAATGAATAGGTCGTTAAAAATGCAATTTGGCTAATAGGGTTTGCTTGATTATTTTCGACTTAATTTTCGAAAGTGTTTCCTGATGATGAATAATAATAATAATCATATGTGTCTGTAGGTCAAGATACCATGTCAGTGTTATATAATTCTTCGATTTTTACAGTTTGTGGTGGTTGAGACTGTCTGATGAAATTCGGTTTAGGTCTGACATTTAAAGTACAAACACACATTGGTTGAGGTGGAGGTATTGGTTTATTCTGGTTATGTCTAATTTTGTAGGTCTATCAAACACAGCAGAATTGGTAGGGAATCTTTGAGGTATGGTATTCAAGTTCGGTCTTATATTTATTGGCTGTAATGGCAATCTTTAAAAATTAGGGCTAATTGGGAAATTATAACGTGGAATATTTGAATTGAATGGAAAGAAATTTGATCTAACTGGAGGATTTTGAAAAGATGGTCGAAAATTAAAAATTAGATTATTTCGCATGTTGAATTGGTCGGCGTAGAAGGAGTTTTGACTTATTCTGAAAATAACTAACGTTATGTTCTGCAGTTTCGAATTGTACATTTTACATACCTAGAATGGTGGTCCCTAAAGGTTCTTTGAGTCCCGAAAGAAAATTTTTTAGTGCTAGATTGATGAGATTTTTACAAAGTTTGTCTTCTGTGTTAGTTTCATGGATGTCAATGGGAGAACACAATTAATTTAATATATGAAGTACTTTATCATAAAAGTGAAGTGCTCGTGTCTTGTTTAACATTAACAAGGTCGCACTTCAGACAAGTTTCCTCCTTTTGATCCGGAAAGTTACTTGTTAATGTTGATTTTAATTTTAAAAATTTAAGACAATTTTTGCATTTCCCGTTAATTATTCGGGATACTGCTTAATTAACTAGTACCTTCAGAGCTTTTATTTCTACTAATAATACTCGAAATCTGTTGGGATACTTTATTAATATCGTATTTAGTTTGTCTTAATACATTTTCTGAACTATTTAATAAAGTTTCCGAAAAAATATTTTAATTTAAAGTGTTTACAATTTCATTGAAGTCGGACACAAAAAAAATTGTTTAACTTAAACTCCCATGGTGATTTTGCCCTTTCCAAAGTAGTTAACCCTCACGAAATTGCCCGATGTAGTGACAATTCCCCAAATCAATGAAGTCTATCAACGTTTATCGACTAGTTTGACGATCCTACCGACTGGACGTTGACTTATTCGATACGACAACACCGTTTTTAAAAATATGGCCGACAAATAAATGACTAACTTAACTACAATGAATAGACACAAATATTAAAAGCGGCAGGATGTTTCAATACAAATGCCACGAACCAAGGGAGGGGGGGGATGACTCCTTGCTTAAAATAAAGGCTTGTTTGGGTCAAAAGCCAGCCATTAGGGAGATAACGCTCAAAAAATATAACAGAAAAATAAACTTCTTATTTTTTACTTTAAAAACGAAAATAGGTAGAACAACAAAATAGTTTTTAAATTTTTCCAATTTAGATGGTTGTGGTGTATATTGTACCAACATTTGTCAATTATCTTCTAACAAATACATTTTATAATAAATTTATTAATTAATAAAAATTTCTGAAATTAATGGATCTTTTCTTTAAAAACAATTTATTTGAACAATGTAACTCACATAAAAACACCACAAATAAGCAAAGCACCTAAGAGAAAACAAATAGACTTTTTTATAGTTAGTGCTTGCGATATAATACATGCATTTATCCTACGCATCATTGAGTCCCTAATACGCTGACATATGCGTGCATGATTTCTTATGACATTACAAGACGCTATTATCCGATTTCTTATTTTTTCGATGTCCTTTATTGGCGTGGTGTAATCTAATTATCTTAGATATCCCCACATACCATAATCCAAGGATTTAAATCTGAGGTTCGAGGCGC